AAAGTATTTTGGCTATTATAGTTTCTATGCTTTTCCATATGCATTTTAGAATCCTCTTGTCTATATCTACAGGAAATCGTGCTGGGAAATTGAGTGGAATTATGTTACATGTATAGATTATTTGAGGAGCATTGACATCTTTACCATGTCGTATTTTCAAATAATAAACATATATATATATGTCTTCATTATATAAACTTTTTATTTATTTATATATATAATCAGTTTTTGTAAAGGTCAGCATACAGATTCTATACTAGTTTTTAAAGTCGTTATTTGCTAAGTATTTGATTTTTAGGGAGCTGTTATAAATGTATTGCTTTTGCAATTTTGATCTCCAATAGTATATTGATAGAATATAGAAATATAATTTTTCTGTGAGACCTTGAATGTGGCAACATTGCTTACCTTAATGGTTAGTGCTAAGAAGTTTTCTTTGTTTTAATTCCTTCCTACTTTCTAACTCATAATATTATCTGAGAATACAATGATTTTGTCTGTATTTCCCCCCCCCATTTCTTTCTAATGTGTGTGTCCTCTATTTTTCTTGCCTTATTGAACAATTAGGACTTTCAGTGCAATGATTAATATAAATGGTGAATTTTTTCAATGTTTCACCTGTACTATATACCTTTTGTTTTTTTATAGATGCCCTTAATACAATTGAGAAAGTTTTTTTATTTTTATTTGATGAGAAGTTCATCATTAATAGATGCTGAATTTGTCAAATGCTTGATATGTCTTTAAAATTTCTATTTTTACTATTTACTAGTGTAGAAAAACTGTTTTTACTCCTTTTACTATTAATTTTCAGTTTAGCTTCTTTAGACATGTGAGTAGTTGTATCAAATTAATCAAATTCCATAAATGAAGAGCTTTCCCAATTTTAGCCAACTTGGTTCAATTTTAGTAAATACTTCCACTTGCTCAAAGACATTAATTTTTCAAATTATGATGTGATCTTTATAGTTCTAAAAGGATGAGGAAATAAATTGTAAAAAGATGATATTTTAATATTAACTACTGCTGATAAAATTTTTGATTTTGAATATAACACAAATTTTCTACAATTTGCTGAATACTACTAGAGAAAAGTATAAAGGCAAATAATTAAAAGAAATCATTCATATCTACTTTGTGTTTTTTTTGATAAGTTGTTTATTTCTTTGTTTTCTGTTCAAACAAAAACAAAGAATATATATTTTTTATAATCTTCATAAAAAATAACAAGAAAGAAAAAAAATCAAAATAAGAGAGCATATTCAGTTTTAGAAATAAGTTCTTTTATCCTATGGGGCACTTAAAAAAAACAAACTTCTGTTTTTTAATTCCTGACTTTAAAAAAATATATATTTTATTGATTTCTTACAGAGAGAAAAAGAGAGGGGTAGAGTGTTAGAAACGTCGATGAGAAAGAAACATTGATCAGTTGCCTCCTGCACACCCTCCACTGGGAATGTGCCCGCAACCAAGGTATATGCCCTTGACCAGATTTGAACCTGGAACCTTTCAGTCCACAGGCCGACGCTCTATCCACTGAGCCAAACTGGTTTTGGCTAATTCCTGACTTTGAAATAGATTTAAAAGATATCTAAAGTGTTTACTTTAGAACTTTCTATACCCACCAATTCAGGGTACATATATTTCAATACTAAATTATGTGTCTTTAAAATAATAATTAAACTATGTTCAAGTTGAATTTGAAGGAAAAAAACCTAGTGAATAGTTTGTGTGGAAGATTATAAAGGTTTTAGAAGTTATTAATATTTACATTTATTTACTCTGCTGGGACTTAGAAAACTATAAGTCTGTGACTTCAAATTTTACTTTCTTTCTAAACTTAAAAGATATTTATAAATTTACCAGGTAGAAGTCATTTAAAAAAAAATCTTCATTGTTTAAAGTATTACATAAGTCTTCTTTTATCCCCATTGACCTCTCCTGCGCCGCCCCCACCGCCTAGCACATGCCCTCACCCCACTACTGTCTGTGTCCATTGGTTATGCTCATATGCATGCATACAAGTCCTTTTGTAGAAGTCAATTTTTAAGTATAATATTTAAAAATATCTGAAAGCCTTTCTACTTCTAAATTACATGATGTGATAAATATGGCTATTTTTCTCTATTTTTTATTTTTCTATGCAAATACTGTTATTTTATATTCAGGTTATTATCCTTGGAGTCTGGATAATGACAATGTTATTTTCTATAATAAAGCCAGTGTGATTTTCTTATAGTGAATATGTTTGTTAAGACAAAATGACTGTTTCATTATGATAATTATGAATACACACAAATCTCTCACATTCCTACCCATTTTAATGGGTGAATGCAGTCATAACTAGAAACTTTTGCTATTGTGCTACTGATTAAATTTCATATTTGAAAAACATGTTCATTGTGAAATTCTACAATAATAAATCAATTCCTTTTTAAATTTCCTGTATTTTAACTCTCTCATTTATCTTCCTTTATATATAGTTATATATATTTCCTTTTTATTCTTTTTATTTTTTCTTGATTTTCTCACTTTTGTTATTTTTCTTCCTTCTTTTTTCCTTCAAAATTCCGTTCCCCCCCCCTTTTTTTCCTAACTTCCTCATTTTTCTATTTTCATTAGAACTGTATTTGGTAGGAGTTCATCAGCTACTAATACATACATAAAACATACAAACACACATACATCTTTTTGCACAATCATATTCAAAAACAGCTTTTTACTCAATGAGAACATATTTATTTATTTAGTTTTGCTTAAGTCTCTTATTTTACTTAAACTCCTTATAAGTTTAATAATTTGCAAACATTTTAAAATACTATCCTGATTAGAACAGGTGAAAAAATGTTTCCCTGGTGTGTCTCCCTGTGTCAACCTCTTATAAAGCTCCATTTAATTAAAGCCATAAAAAACACGAGATTACTTTTAATAGCACTTCTATTTTCTCACTAGTTTCCGTTTTTTTGGGTTACATTTTACTCTCTCCTTAATACTCAGGATTCTCATTTTCTGAAATGTTCTAAGACATTTATCCTGAACTTTTAATCTGAAGCATATGTATACATATTCTTTCCAATTCCAAAGATGAACTAGCCCTGGCTAATGTGGCTCAGTTGCTTGAGTGTCATCCCATGCACCAAAAGGTCATGAGTTTGATTCCTGGTCAGGGCACATACCCAGTAGAGAGTGTACAGGAGGCAGCTGATCAACGTTTCCCTCTTACATTCATGTTCTTCTACCTCTCTCTAATTAATTAAATTATATATATTTTAAAAAGATGAACTAGATTTTTTTTACATTAAAATGTGGAATACCAACTAATTATAGTTTTAAAAATTGGAAAAATGCTTTTGCAAACATTTTTTGCCCCTCATTCTGGTTTCCATTATCTTTATTAGAACTTTAAATTAGTCTTAAAAATTGTTAGTTTGTTATTTTGGATACAAAATAAGGTGCTTCACAGAGCCTGTGAAGAAATAAAACATGTCAATGAAAAATGTATGCCACCAACTACTTGCTAAACAAATTGGGTGTGAGAAATGAATCGTCCTTGTTTACCCACATTTTTACTTTTTTTTTTTTTTTTTGATAAAATTCATTTGAACAACAACAACAGATTACAAATTAAGATATTCGTCAGGGATTTCTTCTGTCCCCAAACTTCTAACAAACATTGCAACTCAATGCTTTACGATGTTACTCTTAGCCTATGCCCCCACCCCCAGGAATATTTTGAAAAGCCAAATAATTTAAATTATTACATGGGGAGAAAAAGAGTACTGCTAACATAAATTAGCCTTATTTATAAGGAAAACACATATTGCACTACATTAGGCCTTACCTTGGGCCCTCTGCTTCATGAATTGCCTGCTCCTGTGCCACTGCTACTTGCATGCTGGATGATCTTGTACGAACCCATAGCTGCTTCAGAGCATAATGGCGTGATATGAAGTGATGCAGAAAACAGGAGGACCTTTGTCCTGGAGTCAGCTGCAAGAAGAAGTAACGTGCATGAATGTACAGTATAGGGAGATCTATGAAAGATCTAGTCTCTTTCTCCCAAAAGACTCTGTTCCATGATACAAGGAGAATTCAGTTCTTCTTGGCAGATGTCCAGGTCAGTTTGGAGGCAGTAAAGACAACCACAAAAAAAAACAAGCCTGGTGTCTCAATGTCTTTACTCTCAGTGATTTAAGTAACATTTTTCTTCTTATTTTCCTTTTACTTTGTTTTTAATAACCAGGAAAGAATACATGTTTCCATTGTCTTGTGTGAGTGCGAATTTTATGGTAGAGATGTCATTGAGAATGAATTATATGGGCCCAGCTTATCTATTTATTTTATTTTTTCACTGAATTTATTGGGGTAGCATTGGTTAATAAAATGATATGTTTCAGGCATACAGTTCTATAATACATCGCCTGTATACTGCATTCTATGTGTATCACCCAATGTCGAGTCTTTATTTCCCCTTTACCTTCTTCTACCTCCTCCCATCCTCCCCTCCTCACTCTCTGGTAATTGGAAGGAAAGGATCAGTATCTCTTAATTGAGGAATGGATGACTTTTAAATGATATTACATCAAAGAAGGCATAGAATCCCAGAAGATTATGTAATTATGTTAAAAATGAGTATTATTAAGTAATTCACACTTTTATTATGAAGAAATTAGGTCATTTTTCTACTCCTCCCACAAATATTCGATCTTAATATCTAAATAATGAAACAACACAGTGTTATCCATCCTGGTGCTAAGAGAGAATGCCAGTTATGACAGGCTCATTGTTTACTTTAACAGGTAATTTGTGGACCGGAATCATTTAATTGTTCTGAGTACATAATTACATGTCAGCAATTTCCAATTTAATTAAAATGTACAAATCTGAAGATTAAGGGAATTTTTGAATTATTAATCATTTTTCCACTAGGAAATCTTGTTGCTCTGCAGGAGATTTGTCCAGTGTACAACTATACGTATTTTTTTCCTTCTCTTTCACAGACAGACAATTTTCCCGCAGAGCCCAATTACATGGGCAGCAGGCAGCAGTTTGTTCAAAGGTAAGGCCCATTAAATAACTTTCTCGGCTTCCCCATTTGCATTCGTGTCAAAATTGCTTTGCAAGAAACTACGCCAGCCTCAGCCTCGTAGAGACACCACTTTCTCTTCTTTTTTCTTTATATGTATTCCAGTAGCTCCACGTTTAAGGACCCAGAGAGAGCCAGCCTGAGAGACAGTGGGCACGGGGACAGTGATCAGGCTGACAGTGACCAAGACACTAACAAAGGCTCCTGCTGTGACATGTCTGTTAGGGAGGCACTCAAGATGAAAACTGCTTCCACTAAAAGCCAGCCACTCGAACAAGGTGAGTGAAGCCTTCCAATGCTTACTGAGTGTAAAGTTTAAGCAATCATTAAGGACCAATTAGCACTAGAGTGCAGTTCATTACGGTGGAATGGACCATTAATGTATCAAAAGGAACAGCAAGTCCCAACTTTGTCCCAGACAAAAAACAACTATTCAGGTACTACTGTAACAAGGGAGAGAGAAAGGCCATAGATAGCAGCCTATAATCTTCTTAAAATAAGAACTTGATGAAGTCACTAGACTTGTTCTTATCTTCATGAATGCTTCCTAACTTTCCCTATTTTGCATTTTATTTACAAGAATATATTAACTACAATGCACATTTTAATGTACTCGTTTATTGGATTAAAATAGTAAATTCAACGCTTTTAGGTGAAATGAAAACTTGATTGGAATTGTATAGTTCTAGCACGTTGGTATGTTTTTAGTGTGAGTTTTAGTTTTTAAAGAGTCAAATAATAGCTAAGCCACAGTTTTTGCTCCTTTTGTTTTGCTTTACATTGAAGTCTTCATAGATGTCAAATAAGCATGAACTTGTTTACACAGATAGAGATGAAAAATATTTCTTAATAAATATGTACATTTTAAAAGTCTACCATTAATTTATTCAATTGATATGCCTTTTAAAAAAATTTATGTCTTCATTGTTTCAAGCACAATGGAATATTTGCTGATGATTTACCCAAAGAGAATTAAACTACTTTCATGTGTAAGAATTAGAAACCATAAGCTTTTTCCTAATATCTAATTATAGCAAATGAAAAAATAATTGTTTTATAAATAGCATTTCAGAATTACAGATGTATTTTAGATTAGTTAATATATTATTAGTTTTCAAAATACTCATGGTATTTAAATATTTAATATTTATCATTTCAGTTTTTAATGAAAAACTTGATTTATACCGTATACTTGATTTATACTATATAGCTGCTAAGTCATTTATTAATTGATGATACATTGAAAGTAATTTTTTGCCTGTAGTGCACTCTATCCTATCATATACAGTTTAACAGATATAATGTTTACTAACTTTTCTAATCATACTCACATTTTAATACAAATATATATTCACAAAGATCTATTTAATACAAAAGTAAGTAAACATAGATATAAATATTTCTACACTGAATATTATTATGCTGGGTTTATTTTAAGGTTGACCTCCCGAAGGCCTTCTTTTCTAAGTAATAAGTACTAGATAGATAACTTTCTTCTGAACTTTTACCATCACAGTTTTCTGTGTTAATAGAAATATTGTTTTTTTTAGACTAGTTTTTTTTTTTTTTTTTTTTTACAAAAGCTATTTGTTTGTGTTCATATCTGTTTTTTTATTGATTTCAGAGAAAATGGGAGAGGGAGAGAGAGAAACATCAATGATGAGAGAGAATCATTGATCGGCTGCCTCATGCACACCCCCTACTGGGGATTGAGCCCGTAATCTGGGCATGTGCCCTTGACCTGAATAGAATCCAAGACCTTTCAGTCCGCAGGCCAAAGCTCTATCCACTGAATCAAACCAGCTAGGGCTAACAAAAGTTATTTAAATACTTATACTTAATATTCACAGTTCCTGAAAATTTGAATGTTTACTTGAATGTGATTTAAATGTCTTGATGGGTTGTGACTATGTGATATTATATAAATCTTTTAGACACATTTTAAATAATGGATTGTTGAATCATGTTATGTGAATGAGTAGCATAAGACAGTAGCATGTTATGTGAATGCGTAGCATATTATGTATATAATAAAGTAATTGAACAGATTATTTTTTGGCTACTATTTGTAAAGTTGCATATGGTAAGTAAAGGGTTCGCAGTTATTATCTATCTTCATGAGATTCCAATTTTCCTTTCTTAATCAACAACATAAACAAGTACATTGTTGCTCACATTTATATTTTAATTCCTTTTCATGCCCTAACTGAACAGTGTATTTGAAGAGCATGAAAAAGACCTCTGTAGAAAAAGAAAGTTATTTATGTTTGAAAGTTTAAATTATAGTGAAAACATGATTTTAAAAAATTGATATAAAAAACAATATTTTAGAAAGGAGACTATTGTTCTTAAAAGAAAATAGATTTGGCATATATTTTAGTTAATATGACACAGAAATATTGCTAGTCTAAGGGTGAGAATGTCAGTAGAAATATCTCCTGTAACACAAATAGATCCAGATCTCCTTATTAATAAATATGGAGAAATTATTATAATTCTGAAAACCACACTTAGGTAATCAATAAATTATATAGGATACAGACTTATACTTAACAAATTGAACTTGAAGGCTTAGCTTAAATAATTGTTTATTTAATGATTGGATTCACTAATGCACTATTTAATTAATACATAAATATATTTTCAAAATATATTTTCTTTTAGGAGCAAAAATCCGAAAGCTAAACAAAAAGAAATCTGTTTATCAGTTTTTTTCTCTTACTAAAATTGTGTATTAGTGCTTTAACAGATTTCAATTAGAAACCAGTAGCATATTCCATTTTATATTTTTTGGCTTCCATCACTATTTAAATGATCTCAAGTGAAAAAAAAAAGTGTTCTATTTCTAAATTGAAATATTTCTTTAACTTATAAACTAAAATACATTAAAATTATCTCCACATTTTTAGTGGAATCTTTTGTGCTAATAATTGTTTTCTTATCCCTATGATTAAGACTTTTTGAGCTTTTATTAGTTCAAATATTACTTTTTCTCTTATTTTGTGCAGTTAGATTCCCCCCCCCCCATTTGTTTTGTTCCTGAAATTTGTTTATTTTAATTTTTTCATTAGTTTAATCATCTCAAATATATAGCAGGAGTATATGTTGCCCATTATTTTAGTAAAAATATTTGAAAGGAATCAGTAGTTAATTGAAAGTATACTATATTGCACAACAGTTAAAGATTGCTTTAAACATTTTATGTTAAGAAACTGTTTAATAGAAAGAGGTTATTTTAGTTTCTCTTAGTGTGACTTAAAAAAACTATCAAAAAGTATTTATATTTTTCTATTTAATTGCATTTTTGTAGTTATCATTTTTTTCCAATTAGAGTTTCTCTCTATTGGAAAAATACTCACTTCACTTAGTATTATAGGTAGGTGGAAGATAGATAAAAGGATCCAAATGTTTTAGAATTTGTACCATACATAGTAGGACATTAGTTAGAGATGCAAATGATTATATTTCTAGTAAGCATAATCACAAATTTACACAGAAAATTGACCAAAATACATTTGATATTATTTTGCTGAATTTATATTTTCAAATAAGAAAAACTAATTTATACCAAGAACTAAAAATAAAATACATATAATGTTATCTACTTAAATAAGAATCACATACAGTTTTATAAATAATAAAACTAAAAAATTTTTAAATTAACTTCTTATGCCTCAAAATATTATTAAATCTTTGACTTTTTAAGAAAATATTGCTCCTTTGAATTTCTATCTACTATAAACTATTTTTATTACTAGCAATAAACATTTCTTTAAAAAAAATTATAAGCTTGCCCTAAAATTCAGTAGTTTCTGTTGATTCCCAAAATAATAATTATGCAGTTTTCATAAATGCTGACTGATGATTTATCTGAGCTTCTTATTAATACCAAGTGATAGCTCTCAATTTTCTTTTTTTAAAACATTTTTTCTTCATTTAATTTTCCACCACCATTTATGCCCCCAGTACCCTCCACCAATCTCCCACAATCACCATACTATTGTTCGTGTCCATGACTTCCTTTTTCTTTTTCTTTTTTGCTCATCCTTCTACCTCCTCGTCCCCCCAACACTCCCTTTCCTCTGCCTGTTCTCTGTGAGTCTGGGATAATCAGTTTACTTGATATCTTTGTAAATGACTGAAACTGAATTCTTGAAGCCAGAAGTCAGTGGAATCTCATTGCACATTATGACCGTTGACAACCCATGCCAGGGATTGCAGTGAAAGAGTCACAGTCATGAGTCTAACTCCTGTGCTGTGTTGCCAGCTGTAAGGCCCTCCTCTGGATTTCAGGGCTTTACTGAACCTCAGGAGTTCTGCTCACCTTTTTTTTTTCTTTCTTTTTTCTCATTTAATTTAATTGCCAAATAATCTCCCCTCTGCCCCCATTTAATTCTGTGCTTCCATTTAATTCTGTGCTTCCACTGTTCTCTCTTTATTGCTAAAAAAATCTGACTCCTTAGATTAGATTCTGGTTCAAAACATTTCACAATGGAATCCCTAATTAAAATCTAATAAAAATAAATCAATAGAAAGTTGTGAAAGAAGAGAAATTCCAAATGAGCCAGGTTTGCTCCAATGAATTTCAATTTTAAAACTAAATTACATTCTTAAGGGTTGCCTTTTTTCTTCCCAGAGGACATTTTAGAAAATTATGAGAACTAAAGCTAATGGATTTTTTTTTCTTTATGTCAGGGCTTGGATTTTGTTTGTGTGCTCCATATTCAAAAGATGATTTTACCAGTTAAACAATTGCAGGGTTTGTTATTTGATTTCAGAGTTTGACAAGTTTCTGAGCCCCACTCCTTTACATCCCCCCGAGGCTCCTGTTCAGTGAGAGGAGAGCCCCACATTCCGGATTGGAGAGGACGTCATTGTGACAGAGGGTTGGGGCACTGAACACAAACTTGACCTACTTTGCAATTTCCCCCAGAACCCACACCGAATACAAAAGTATGAGAATAGTGCTTTTATATTCTCAGGTTTTTGCTCTGTTTTTTATTCTTCATTATGGTTACTGCAGTTCTGACCCTTTCAGCCAAGCACTGTCTTTTCCCAAACCCTCCCATAATAGGCAGCAGCAAACCCACCTCTCTGTAAGCAAGAACATGAAGGTAATGACTATATCTGTCCTCTCAACAGCCATCTGGCATCTTCTAATATATATATATAGTTAAACCTTACCCTAAGATATTTTTTCCATTGATTTTCAGAGAGGGTGGAAGAGAGAAAGGGGAGAGAGAGAGAGAGAGAGAGAGAGAGAGAGAGAGAGAGAGAG